AGGTGTCATCAAGGCCAGGCTGGATGGGGTTTGGAGCACCCTGGGGTCTAGTGCTCTTGGCAGGCTTTAAGGTCCCTYCTAACACAAACCAATCTGGGATTCTGTGATTTTAAGGGTTTTACCTCCAATAGACCTGAGGATTTTTCCTGCTTGAAAGATACACACAAACATCCCTCCACCCACAGGAGTCACCCCMAGACACTACTACAAGCACACAGTTTTGGAAGCAGGAGCAGAGACACTGCCCAGAACAGCATGAGTGCTGACCTCATCCTGCCAGAGGGCCCAAGGACAGCAGGAATATCCCCCATCACCTCTGCTATCCTGATCTTATCATAAACAGTAACAATAAATATCCAGGAGCGAGGACAGAACTGCTGGAGCAGCAAAAGGTGGCTCAGGAAGAAGCTCCCAGCTTCACTAAGATCCAGCAGCAAAGCAGAAAACAGGACAGCCTGGAGGTGACTGCCCCTTCCCRGCACTGCCAAGGGGGACACTCACCTGTGCAACCCTCCAGATCAGACAGAAATATCCTACTCATTAAATAAGGATAGGAAAGGGAAGCCAGCTCTGAACTATGCAAAGGGCTGAGTAATAGGAAAAACARCTTGGTGGTTTGACATGAGCATTGAAAGCCTCACTGCTCACCCTGTCACAGAAGTGCTTCACGCAGGGAAGGAAAGGATGCCATCCAACCTTTTAAAATGACAAAATCTTTCTGTGATCAAACTTCCCTGCCATTGCCACCAATAAGCAAGGATATGGGTGAAAGGAGCAGTGGCCAAGTCAAACACCTTCCAAAGGAAATGCTGGCAAAGGTGTTAAACTTGAGTGTCAYTTTTCCTTTGGGAACACAACCAATCTAGTACCTGTGGTCACAATTAACAATGCACAGGAGTGCTCAGGCACACAGAGCTGAGCATCAAACTGGAGGAAAGGCTGGGGTGTACTCTCCCAACAGAGCTGAGATTGTGAACATCTACCAACAATACATGAGGCTCTTGCTTCAGCAAACTGATGCTTGGAATCAAGCCTAAAATAATATTAAGAGCTACTGAAAAAATAATCTTTTGAAGTGGGTCTGGSAGCAGACTTGGACTTCAGCCTCTCTTGGTCATGGATGAGATGAAGAGAAGCATCACTGCAGTGGTTTATTTGGTTTAGTCCTACAACAGTCTCACCTTGTTATCACAAATTCCCAACTAGCAGGAGCTCTCCTGAAATCTGGGARGTAACAGGATTTGAAACTGCCTGAACCTTAGGAGTGCCTGTACTATTATCTCTCTGTATCCTGCACCTCTTCTGAGCTAAAAGCCAAAATAGGAGCTGCTGCCCCTGTTCTGGCTCACCCCAGGCCACAGTCCCAGCCACCCTCTACCTTCCTGAGCAGACCCAAGGGACAGCACAGCCCTCCCTTAGCTMAGCATTTTCAGAGCACATCAGACCACCAGGGAATTTTTGCAAAATGCCAGGAAGCACGAGAAATAAATGCCTGGAAGCACAAGAAATCACGAGGCTTGGATGCCAGAGTCTYTCACTTTCTGTACCACACAAAGCAGATGTAGCCAGATAAAAGTCACATTGTCAGGCTGATGCAAAACCAAGCTGGAAGAAACCAGTGTTCATCATCTAACACTTGGTGACACAGAGTCATGCCACTCTTGCACACCCTGTGTCTGATCAAGGCAGCCTCCTGCAGCCACTGTCACCCCTTTTCCCACCAGAAATGGAAAACTCCACCTGGAAGGGCACRAAGCCAGCACAGATTCCATTTGCACCTGCAAAGAGACAGGATTCTCCAGCAAGGTACTGGGACAAAGGACCATAAGTGAGATGGGCTGGGATCTCCTCCTCCCTGGGGGGTGGCAACAGGACACCTGGGAACCCACTCCAACCCACTCCAATCTTCATGCAATGTCCCAGCAACCAGATGGATAAGGAAAAACCCCTCAGTCCTCACTCTGGAATCACACAAAGCACAAGCATCTACTGAGAAATCATCATAAAATCCCCCCAAACCAGCAGAAGCCTTCAGGAGTTCAGGAGGCACCAGGAAACAATTTTCTTTTGTGCTTTTCCTGTTCTCTTTGGGAGCTGCAGACAAAATGAAATGTCATGGGATGTACACAATACAAGAGGAAAGGCACTGATCTCTAGTTTTAGACAATGAATGAGGCTACAAAGCAAAAAAAATGAGTCTACAAAGACCAAGATGTCTTTGGAAGAGAGTGGGACCTGTACAGTTACAAGAAAATGGAACTTGTTTCATGGTGAGGCCCTGGCACAAAAGCTGTGGCCACCCCAYCCCTGAAGTGTCCAAGGCCAGATTGGACAGGGCTGGGATAAAGGAAGRTGTCCCTRCCTATGGCAGGGGGTGGCAMTGGATCAGTTTAAAGGTCTCTCCCAACCTAAAYCATTCCATGATTCCACGATCTACTCTCAGATATCAAAACACAAACACCAACAGGTAACAGCATCCAAGACCTGCAGGCTTAACAAATGGGTACAAATAACACCAGGGCAAGGTTCCCTGTTTATCCACTGGAGAGATAAGAGAGAGTTCACTGACCAGAACAAACAGATGTTGCCTTGTTCTCTTTGAGACGAAGACTTTGTGTTGCACAATGSTTTAAAAAATCAATTTTGAAACATTCTGGCAGTAGGATCTCCTGAGGCAGCYCAGGGTCAGCTGTGCCAACACAGGGTACATATCAAAGCTGGGACACTGTGCAAGGGCCAGAGAAGCAGAAAGTGAAACCAGCCTCTCACTTTCCATTGCCAAAACAGAAAGGTGGAAACAAGCACGAAATAACACCAACATGATCTAAAAACTAGCCTTGATGCTTACATCCCATTGTAAYGCGTTTCTGTCAACACAGAGCTGGGAGCTCTTGCCAGAAGCCTCCAGGGTTTTTGTCAAATAAAATATGCACTGCTAAACTATTCCCCTTGGCAAGGCACCGTGCATGACAAAGCAGGGATGGGAACATCTCCTCTCAGAGCAGCACCAGCRSAGAGCCCTGGGAGACCCRAGACCACCAGGAACACCACACAGTCCAGTGATTCTGCTGCGCTGGCTCTTCCCTGTGCTGCTCCCAGCCTTTCCCAAGCATTTCCCCAGCTCAAAAAAACACAACTGTTGGATCTCAGGCAAGGAAAGCAAACCTTGCCACTGAGCATGGAAAGCACGACACCAAGGGTTTCACTGAGGGCAGRATTAGTTACCAGGTAACGTCCCAGCAGCTGCATTTAACAATTCTGACAAATTCTCTGCTCCCATCACTGCCTTCTATTACAAAACAACACATTCAGCACTTCAGAGGAGCTGTTCCTCACTGCTTGGGAACATTTTATTACCTTTTCTTTCCTTCTGCAATTCATTTTGAACTATTTTATGAGGAGCAGCACAACATCAATGTTCCCTCTCTCTGGTAAGGACACTCCAGGTCACTGACACRAGGGAAATAWGAGAGSAGTCCTTCAAAMRGCTCAWTATATGTGAAAACAYTTGCGTGGAGATAAAAGGATTGCCCTGGGAATAGCATCCCCCTGACCTTCTTTAGGAGCACAGGACAAGGAGCTAAAGCGAATCCCAGCTTGGCCCAGGGAGTTTGTTGTGCACCAGTTAAGCAGCATCAGCCCTCCCAACGTGGAGGGAGGTCTTCAAACTCCCACTAAAGTCCTGGAATAAAAAACTCCCTGAAGATTTTCTGCTGCAGAGTAAATTCCAGCTGAGACAAACGTACTTATCTCAAGGCCTAACCCTCTGCACAACAACCACCAAACCAGAGCCATGTCAGAGCTCCCTTCCCTCAGGTTAGGAAATGTGGTGTCAGAGTTAACTGTGAGAGAGGCAGAACCTCCACTTCCAYACCAGGGTGACCTATTCCCCACCACTGCCAGCACCTTCTGTCCCAGATCCCTCCCTGATCACATCAGCTCAATAAAGCTTCTTTCAAACCTGCCCGCACAGCCTCTAGCAGGTGTTTAACTAGCATTCAAACAGCATTAAAATTGTACTAAAATAGCATTTAAATGGCACTTAAATTGCAAAATAGTTTTGTCTGCTGATTTCATGCTGCTCTGAATTGCACCCTTCATGCACTAATGGACAAAACATCAATATGATGCTGCTGAGAGCTGATGGACCAGTCCAGAGTCRCTCCCAAGGTAAATGCATTAAACAGCAGCACAGCAAGAATTGCTTTTCCCTCCAGCTTTTGGTCCCTGTGAGCCTGCAAATGTTATTTATGAAGTTTTCCCTGATTGTTTATTCCTCTCGGCCCCTTCCTCTTCGGAGAGGCGCAGGAGRAGAGACAACTAGGTTTTGACAAATGACTTGCAGAGCAACTGTGAGCATCCAGRCAGGCTCGGGGATGGAACAGAGGAGATGTTTGCCAGGTTTGCCTCCCATGGCTCTTCCGCCGTGAAACAGAAAACTCCTTCCTCTGGAGAAACGCAATTTAACTCCCATAGAGCCCTCCAAGGGAGGGCATTCCCTGGGGAYGACTTCGGAAGCACCAAAGTCTTCCCTAAGGAAACCTGAGGGTTTTGGAACCCTCACCTCCGTCCTTAAGAATGCCTTAGGAGGTACCAAACCCTTCCCTAACGGAAGGTTTGTAATCCCCACCTCATTCCCTGGGGATGGCCTGGGAGGCACCAAACTCTYCCCTGAGGGAAGGTCTGTGACCCCACCTGAGCCATCCCACAAACGCAGYTCACGCCCAGATCTCCGAGCTCCCACACGGCGGATCCCGGGCCGGTTCACGAAACACCCCCAGGGGTGGGATCTCCTCCTTCGCGGGTGTCGTGAGGRGCGAATAAACCAAGCGCGGGGCACATTCGCCAAGCGCCGGGCAGCCCAGGGGACGCAGAGCGGCCTCACCACGGGAGACGGTACCCCCGCGGCGCACAGGCCCCGCGCTCCCCGACGCTCCCCGGCCGGCCCCCGGTTCCCCCCGTTCCCCCAGTCCCCTCACACCCCCGGGACGGCTCCGCACCTTGTCCTGGAGGTCCCGCGCCCCGCCGGGGCCGCGCCCGGGCCGCAGCCGCGCCTCGCTCATGCCGGACCCGCGACCGCCGCGCCGCTGCCGCCAGGGGGCGCCACAGCTCCGGACACTGCCGACCACCAATGGGCGGCGCAGGATGGGCACCGGGGGCGGGGTTTGTGCGGGGCTGGCCACGCCCAGGTGTACCCGGATGAGGACGTACGCCATGATGGGTGGGGCGTGTGCGCCACTGCGGTGCGGCGTGCGTCAAGGCCGACCAATGGGAGGTGCAGAACGGGAGAGGGGCGGGGCCTCAGCGAGGCATGGCCGCGCCCAGGTGTACCCGGATGTGGGGGACGCCATCATTTGTGGCGCGAGTGCGCCTATGAGAGGGAGGGAGYGGGAAGTTCCTCCGCGCGGGAAGGYCCKTRGGCGCTAGGAGAATCGTGAGGGGTTTATCTGAAGGGACRAATGGGTTTGTTTGGTGGCTGGTTTTCCCTCAGACCTGGAGTTSCAGYCARGACTCGGTGTCTGAGGAGAGGCGCGCCACCGAGCCGTCCCCACGGGCAGGCCCCGTATGCGGCACCATCCCCCTGGGCGGCACCGGCCCCGCTCAAGGATCGCGCCCGCCACCATCGCTGCGCAGCGAGGCGGGACGCGGGCCTGTGGAACCCTCGCAGTGATTGGCTCCCGCCGCACGAGGGGGCGGGATTAAGGGGAGGGGCGGCGCTGGGATTGGCCGGAGAGCTAGGAGGACGGGCATGTGAGCTTAGAGGGGATTGGTCTAAAGGAGGAGAGCGACGCTGGCGATTGGTTACTGGGCCGCGGTGGGCGGGGCAGCAGAGTGTATAAAACGGGTTTGGCGGGCAGTCTTGCTCGSTTCTCAGTGTGTCCGACGTTCGAGTTTGTTGCTGCTGCTTCCGCTGGTGCTGCCAGGATGTTCGAGGCGCGRTTGGTGCAGGGTTCGGTCCTCAAGCGAGTGCTGGAGGCCCTCAAGGACCTTATCACCGAGGCCTGTTGGGACCTGGGCTCGGGCGGCATCAGCTTGCAGAGCATGGACTCCTCGCACGTCTCGCTGGTGCAGCTCACGCTGCGCTCGGAGGGCTTCGACACGTACCGCTGCGACCGCAACATCGCCATGGGCGTCAACCTGTCCAGGTCAGGCGGCGGTGGGGTCTCATCGGGCGCTGAGATGGGGCGGCCAAGCAGGCCCGGGGGCTGTGGTGCTGATTGGAGCGGAAGCCGCCGGGGAAGGGGGCGGATGGGTGGGTGAGGGTGAATTTGGGGGCGAGGGGGGACTCTGGAGGTGTGGGAGGTCCTGGGGGCGCTCGGAGCCCCCTCAGCCTTTCCCTCCCCCCCATTCCCCTCACGGCTCTCGCGCCGTTTTTCGCGGCGCGCGCGGGTCTCGTCGCGGCCGTGACGTCACTGCCGGCTCCGAGTGGCGGGAAAAGCCAGCGCTGGCAGGGTCCGCCGCCATGGCCCCTTTAAAGTCCTGTCGTTAGGGAAGTYCTTACAGAATTCTGGGGTGCATCAGGAAGAGCACTTCCAGCAGGTCAGGGAGGTGATCGTTCCTGCCCCGTTGCTCAACTCTGTGAGGCACCTCTGGAGTGCTGTGTCCAGCTCTGGGCTTCTCAAAACAAGAGAGACACGGATCTCCTGAAGYGGGTGCAGTGGAGGGTGACCAAAATGAGGCGGGTGGAGCATCTCCGTTATGAGGAAAGGCTRAGGGAGCTTAGGCTGTTCAGATTCGGGAAGAGATGGCTGGGAGAGGGCCTCATCCATATGTATAAATATCCAAGGAGGGTGTCAGAGGATAGATCATGTTYTGCTCTGTGGTGTCCTGCAATGGCTCAAGAGGAATAGGCAAGAGCTGATGCATGGGAAGTTCCACCTGGATGTATGGAAAACTTATTATCTRTGTAGGTGATTAAGCACTGGAATAGATTGGCCAGAGAGGGTGTGGAGTCTCCCCATACACCCACTTTTCCAACAGTGTTAAAAGGAGAAGTTAATCTGGGAATGCAGCATCCAAAAAGTCCTTACATTGCTTTTAAAAAAGCCCATACAAATTAGCCATCATTTGGAATTTTAAAATTCCATCCAGGAATCATCTCAATCACCGTACAATAAACCAAACTGAATCAGGGGAACATGAATATCAGATCTTAATCCCACAAATCACCTGCCTTTCTCCCCTCCAGTATGTCCAAAATCCTGAAATGTGCAGGAAAYGAAGACATCATCACCCTGCGAGCTGAGGACAACGCGGACACYTTGGCCCTAGTGTTTGAGGCGCCAAGTGAGTGTTGGATTTGGGAGCTCATTTGTTGCYGGGATGGTTTTGGGCAGCTTCATAAACCTGATGAATGTAGGAGGGAAGGAARTTACAGTGAGTCCTGCAGGAATGGGAGGAGATACCTGATACTTAAACTCTTGGAACAATGTGGAGATGTAAACTTTACAAACTTGACCAATATTTCCTTTGTAAGAGGAAGACTCTTAGGCCACACACAGATGCCCTGGTCTGTRCCATTGCAGCTTGCACAGGACTTTGGGGCACTTAATTTCTGACTCTAAGGAAACAAGTTGCATCTTTCTCATTACTGAGGTGGTTTTACTTGGAGGGAGTGGGGAGTAGGCAGAGTTGAATCGATGTTTGTAACCTGTTAAAAACACTTGGTGTAATTGTGCTTTGCTTCTTCAGATCAGGAAAAGGTTTCTGATTATGAGATGAAGCTGATGGATCTTGATGTGGAGCAGCTGGGAATTCCAGTAAGTACTGACTTAGGTGGCACTGGTGTGGAATGGGATGCTTGCCATGTTCACGTCAGATTCTGTAACATAACATCCTCTGGAGCACTGGACAAGCCCAGTGCTGGCAGAGGTAGCAGTGGTGTCTCTCTCCCTCCCAGGAGCAGGAGTACAGCTGTGTGGTGAAGATGCCCTCGGCGGAGTTTGCGCGCATCTGCCGGGACCTGAGCCACATTGGYGACGCCGTGGTCATCTCCTGTGCCAAGGATGGCGTCAAGTTCTCTGCCAACGGCGAGCTGGGCAATGGCAACATCAAACTGTCCCAGACCAGCAATGTGGACAAGGAGGAGGAGGCTGTGAGTTGGGTGTCTGGTGCTGGGCTGAGGGTTTCACCAGTAGAACAAATTTTCTGACCTGTGGGGAATCGTGAAAYTAGGGAACAGTTTGGATTGGAAGGGGCCTTTAGAGGTCATTGAGTCCAAGCCCTGCAGGGACAGATGCCGTGTCTCCCTGTGGCTCATGGATTAGACTTCCTGAGTCACTGCCAGTTTTAAAGCCTGATCTTGGGACCTCCAGCAATGCTGAGCAGGGYGGGGTGAAAGCAGCACTGGTGGTCTTTGCCTGAGGTGTCCAAGTACTTGAAAGATTTGGAATTCCTGCAGCTGAATTTCCTGAACCTGGTCTTCTTTTCCAGGTTACAATAGAGATGAACGAGCCAGTCCAGCTGACCTTTGCCCTGAGGTACTTGAACTTCTTCACCAAAGCCACCCCCCTGTCCCCTACAGTCACACTCAGCATGTCTGCAGATGTWCCTCTGGGTGAGTACCAGTGCCTCTACCTCAGAAATCTTGGAGAATTAAAACTTGAGAATGGATTTTGCATAGAACCTCCTGAACACCCTTTTGTTTCCTCTCTTCCCCAGTTGTGGAGTACAAGATCGCTGACATGGGACACTTGAAGTACTACCTGGCCCCAAAGATCGAGGACCAGCAGGAAGGCTCTTAACTGGAGCAGGACTGAAGGGGGATCTGSTCCTGGCTGAGAGAAGGGAAAGGTGGAGGTAGCAATTCCAGGGCTTTGGAGCATCCTAGGAGCACTGTAGGCATATCTTGTAGATATCTTTGTAAATATTTTTTCAACTTACTATTTTGCTTTACTGGTATCATTGGAAATAGGAAACCTGAGCTTTTCTAGTCTGTTCCTGTACTCCCAATAATCTCTGGAATGCTGTCTGAAGGTGAAATTTCTTAGTGCTTTCAGCTTATGTTGAAGAAGAGGGACAATATTTAATGAGTCAAGATGTTTCCTGGAGTTTCACCTGTGGAGTTTTAGTTTAGGGTTGCTGTTTTATTATGCCACAAGTTTGTATGACTTTACTTCATTTATTTTTAAAGCTGATACTCTAACTGAAACTTGGAAAATGGAAATAAAGAATATAATTTCGTGGAGTTCATCCTGTTTAAATGTGGGTGGGTGAATCAATGCTTTTCAGGCTGTCCTGATGTGCCCTGACTCCTTTCTCAGGGCCAYGCAAAGCTCAGAGTTCCCAGCCTTGATCACTTAAAGGTGTGAATGGATGGGTCGTTACGGATTGGATAATTAATTGGTTAATTAATTGGTCACTGATGCTGTTTCATTTACTCACAGGACTGTGGAATGGTTTGGGTTGGAAAGGACCTTAAAGCCCATCCAGTGCCAACCCTGCCATGGGCAGGGACACCTTCCACTGTTCCAGGTGCTCCAAGCCCCATCCAMCCTGGCCTTGGACACTTAAAGGGATGGGGCAGCCACAGCTTCTCCAGGCACCTTGTGCCAGGACCTCACCACCCTCACAAGGAGGGATTCTTTCCCAGTATCCCGTGTAATCCTGCCCGCTGACAGTGGGAAGCCATTATTCCCCATGTCCTGGCACTTCAGACTCTTGGAAATAGTCTCTCCCTCTTTCTTGTTGGTTCCTTTGGGCACCGGAAAGCCACAATTAGGTCACTCCTGGTCTCTGCTCCAGGCTGAACAATCTGAGCTCTCCCAGCCTTTCCTTACAGCAGAGCTGCTCCACCCCTCTGATCATCCTGGTGCCTCCTCTGGACTCCAGCAGCTCCACATCCTCGCAGGGCTGGGGCAGCTCTGCAGGTGGGGTSTCCCCTGAGCAGGACAGAGCCCCCTCCTCTGCAGCCCCCACTGCTTTGGGTGCAGGGGTTGTGTTCTGTGCAAAGCACCGCCTTGGGCAGTGCCAGTCTGTTCTGTGGCCTCCCCATAGGGCAATGGTGTCTCTGGGAACCACAGCCCCTTGGGCTGACCAGGGCTGTGACCCCTCCTGGCTTTGGCTGTGCTGAGGTGAAGCTGCACATCCTTGGGTGCTGTCCCATGCCTTTATCTGCTCTGTTGCCATGTGCTGCCTTCACTTGAGCATCAGTAGGTCCTCCCCATATGGAGGGGTGTTTATGGTGGGTGATGACTGATGTTCACACCATGTTCACCCACAGGGTCTGATTGTGAAAGGGGTTTAAAAACAGCTTGGGGCAGTTGCTCTTCACAGGGCCCCACCAAACCTTTTTCTCTGTGCTGAGCAAGGGACTCACAAAGAGCTGTGGGGCCACTCAGTGGGGTCAGGGTGTGGGGCCAGAGGCTYTGGGCTGTCAGGGCTGGAGCTCTGCTCTGCCAGCCCTGAGGAGGGTGGAGCTGGGTGCGGGTCAGGCTCTGCTCCGAGGGACAGGGTGAGATAAAACCTCAAATTGTGCCAAGGGAGCTTTAAGTTTAATATTGGAGAAAATTCTTCCTGGAAAGGGCTGCCCAGGCCTGGCACAGCTGCCCGGGGCAGTGGTAGAGTCCCCATCCCTGGGAGTATTCCAAACACGTGTGGATGGGGCACTGGGTGACATGAGTTAGTGGTGACTATGGTGCTGCTGCTGTGCTGACAGTTGGACTTTGTGATCTTACAAAAGCTTTTTCCAACCGAAACAATTCCATGATTTTAAGTTTGGTTTGTTTTTGTTTTTTGTTCTTTTTTGAGGGGTGCAGGGGGAGGGCTGTGTACTTCCCACCGGTCAGTAAGACCGGAGTATCCTGGGCATAAACTGCCTGAAAAGCTGTCCCTGAGAAGCCCCGGCGGGTGGACAGGAGGATGTCACAAGGTGGCAGTGCCGGCGAGGAAACCAATTCCGCTGGGTCAACGACGGTGCTGGCATGGGAGGGAAAGTACCTGGGCAGGGCTGCGGGACAGCATTTCCCCGTGCCCCGGTCCTGGACTCCCGTTGGGACCAGCACTSCTGGGGKKGKYYKGRA